CTCCTCCTCCTCCCCCTCCTCCTCCTCCTCCTCCTCCTGCTCCTCTCCTCTCCTCCTCCTCCTCCTCCTAGCGGTTTTGGGCCCAGACCGCTAGACCCGAGAGCGGGGGCCTTGCCTGTGCGAACGTCAAAACGGCACGCTGCACAGGCGAGCCAGATTCAATTGCCAGCATCCCCGCGTTCCTGTCGTCAGGATGGCCCCAGCCACGCCGCCATGGCAGCGCCGCGCCAACGAGCGCAATGACGCATGGAATGCAGGCTGGGTGTACACGGGGAACGACAAGGGCAACAAAGGCTATGGAAAAGGAGCTGGCGGCCACCCTCAGTTCTTCCAAGACACTTCTGCCAAAGGTGGAGGCAAAGGAGGCAAAGGAGGCAAGGGCAACCAGCAGCAGACCTCCTGGAAGTGCGGACACTGTCAATGTGGAAAGAACTTGGAGAGCTACTGGTTCTGCAAGCACTGCAAGGCGCCGAGGCCCGAGCCCAGTGATCCCGAGCTCGATCGTTTGGGAGCTTGGGCGAACGGGCCGCCAGCCCTGCAGCCAGGACCCCAGCCGATCCCGACTGGGGAGGCGCTCAGCGAGGAGGAGCTCGAGCGCATGGTGTCCTTGGCCAATCGCTTTGGTGATGTGGCCGCAGCCAGCCAGTACGAGGTCGCGCTGGAGCGGCTCCGCGCGGCCAACAAAATGCCCGAGGAGAAGCCGCTCCGGCAGAGGGCCACCGCGGCCCATCAGCGAGTTCAGTTCCTCGAGAAGAAGCTCAACGGCGAAATCGACAAGTTGGAGAAGTGGAGAGCCTGGTGTAACGAGAAGGCCGCAGTTGTCCAACAGCTCTCGAGCGAGCTCGAGGAGGCCAGACGCGCAGCACAAAGCTTTGGTGGACCAATTACACAGCTCAGTGTGCGATAAGAAGGTGGTTACTCCTCAGCCTACTGGGCTTAAGCTTCGCGATATCGTGGACGGCAAATTGGACTGTCTCGAGTTCGTGGACGCTGGGGAGATCTTCAGCGTGCCTGAGGACGAGTACGTGGTCACAGAAGGCGACAAGCAGATTCTGCGCGACAGAACAAGCGAGTTCAAGGCAAACATCGCCAGGATCACTAAGGACGCTTTCGGCGGTATCATCAGCCAGTTGGACACTATCAAGCAGCAGCACGCGCAGCACATGGAAAGGTTGTGGAAAAACTACGTAAAGCAGCAGAAGGAGAGGATCAAGCTGAAGGTGGAGGAGACGCAGCACAGGGAGCAGCAGCGGCGGCAGCTCCAGGGGCAGGAGCTCCAGCTTCTGGATCTTCGAGTACGATCACAGCCGGGGCTGCTGGAGGTGGCGAGAACGTCAGGGAGCGAGCTCGACGCGCAGTGTCCCAGGCACCTCCCCCTGCACCAGAGCAGGCTGCAGCGGCATCCGCATGAGCGCGCAGGGGGACAGCAACCTGATGGGCCAGCTGTTGGGCCTGAGCATCAGCATCTTCTACCTCATCTGATAGCCCCCCCAGGGGGGCAACTTTTTGCGAGTGCAGCTGCGCCTCCTGCGGAGAGTCGGCGTGTACCCTGCAGAGGCGCACCAGCTTTTAAATCGGCTGTGCCGTTTTCCGCCCCCCGAGCCAGGCTCCGAGCCCCTGGGTGAGTTTCTGCGTCTAGGCAGCCCTGGACTGGAAAGTTTTGAGTTGGTTGTGGAGACGGCCAACGTCACCTCCTGGGGATCGGCTAAACCCTGGCTGCAACGTTCGGGAGCACATATTATCTTGCTGCAAGAGCACAAGTTGGTCCTCGACGACCAAATTGAAGAGGCCTCCAGCTGGGCCCTCAAGCAAGGCGGGAAGTCTCGGTTCGTGGCGGCTGAGGCTGGAGTAGGCTCAGGAGCTTCGGGCGGGGTGGCGATATTCGTCCGTTCGTTTCTGGGATGCTACGACCTGGAGGCTGGCCACAAAATCTACAAAGCAAGAGCTGTCGGTTGTTGGGTGCAGATTCTCGGGGGTGAATCGATACTTTGCATCTCGACCTACTTGCGCGATTCCGAGGGGCTCTCCGCTGAGAACCTCAAGATTTTGGCCACGATCGGAGCGGTGGCACAGAGCTACCGCACGCCTCACATCATAGGAGGCGACTTCAACATGGAGCCAGCTGAGCTACATGAATGTGACTTGGCGGCAGTTTATCCAGTTGCATAGTGTATCCAGAAGTGAAGGGTACTTGTGCAACGACGGCCTCGAGCACAGTCAGGCTGTTAGACTACATGGTGGTCTCGGGGGGCCTGTCGAAAGGTATCCAGTCCACCAGGGTGATTTTGGAGAGCGATCTGAAGACTCACACGCCCGTCCAAATTAAGTTCTGCCCCACCCTCGCGGACATTAAGTTCCTCACGTTCTCCAAGCCTCCAGTGATACCCGCGCAGTGCCCTAAGGTCCTTGGCCTGAGCCCCCGTCTTGGGACGACGCCCTGGACTGCGCCACCTACGGTCTCTCACTGGTTCGCGAAGGAGCCCCACGTAATAAGATTCAGAGGCACCTGAATTTGGCCTACAAGATTTGGGCCAACAAAGCGGAGAAGGAGTTGATTGCCAGCCGACAGATCGACATCCCGCTGTTAGGAACAAGGGGCAGGTTGCCTAAGTTGATTTGGAGGTCAGCTTTAGAGGTAGACAAAAGGAAAGACGTCAGGCAACCTGCTCTGTTCACGCTGCGCTGGTTGGAGAGCACGTTCCGTCTTCTTATCAGCCTGCTGCACGCCCTGGACGTCTCGGCGGCGACGGAGGCTCCAGCGTCCGAAGTTGGGGCGACGGCATGGCTGCCGCAATCCGATATGCTTTTTGAGAGCCAAGTTCCGCCAGGACCCATCTTGCAGGGAGGGGGTGGCTCGACAGTCCCCACGCCAACGCGCTCTCGTGTGCTCCGCCAGCTTCGTGGTGCACGTGCTTGCCTAGCCGATCCTCCGGCCTGCATCGGCCGACATTTGGAAGAGTTCCCTGAGATTTATGACAGCATCAAAGGCTTTATCCAGGTTCAGGACATTGATAAGGTCTTCGAGGTCTCGGAGGTTCTTGGGGATTTAGATTTAGGCTGCAGCATCTTAGATAAGATATCCGAGGACTTAGGGGCGTACTCTTTGAAGGCTAAGTCGGAGGCTCAGAAGTCTTGGAAGGCCTGGTTATGCGACGGGGTAGATAAAGGGGCGGGGAGAGCTCATGCGTGGACTCGTCTCCCCAAAGCGTGGCAACCCACCACCACCCTCTCGGCCCAAGGGGCTGTGCTGGCGGACCCCAAATCGTTGTTGGCCTCTGAGGCCCAGAAGTTTGACAAGCTTTGGCAGGCCTCCAAGACGCCAGAATTGCCCGAACATGTTGAGTACATTCAGCCCCTCGATTGTGCGCCGCCACCAGAGATGAAGGCAGTATCGCTTCGGTATAAGCTCACGTCCGCGACCTCCGCGGACGGCTTCCACATGCGCCACTTCAGCAGCATCGCTGATCAAGGTTTGCTGGCCTTGATGTCTTTATATGCTGTCATGGAGGCGACCTCCATCCTGCCGAATCAGGTCCGCACGATTGTGGTCCCGCTATGAGCCAAACCTGCAGGAGGTTGGAGACCTCTCGGTTTGTTCAGCAGTTGTTTTATCGCTTTTGGGGCATGCTACGAAGACCCATAGCGGCGCCTTGGGAGGCATCCAATTGGCGCCCGTACTTGGCGGCGGGGCCCTTCTCGGGAGCTTCGGACGTGGTCTGGAGGCAAGCGGTGAGGTCTGAAAAAGCTGTTCGTCCAGGGCCCCAAAAGCAGTCCAAGAGTCTCAAGGAAACGCCCAAGAAAGAAGAAAAGACGGTGGCCTGCACGGTTCTCTGGGACCTCCTGAAGTACTACGAGACTATTGTGCTGTCCATCCTGGGAGATAGATGCGAGCTGCTCGCGTTGCCGAAGCAGCTGTACCGTGCAAGCATCGCCGCGTACAAGAGCCCACGCTTCTTGGCGATGGCCAGCATGGTGCATGGCCCTCACTTTGCCTTTTTCAGGAGTTATCGCAGGCTGTTCTTTGGCGACCACTTATATTAGAGCGTACGCCATCCCCACAGTAGACTGCATCACTTTCCCGCCCCGCACTTCCTTGGACATATACATTGATGATTATGGCATGTCGTCCACAGGTAAGCCCAAGCAAGTAGCACAGGATATTATTCACACGGCGGCACAGCTATACGTTGGGCTCACAGAAGAGATGCGCGTGCAAGTTGCCCAGGACAAAGCGTCGGTCATATGTTCATCCCACAAGACTGGAGAAGCCATCAGGCAAGCTCTAGGCGAGTACGGTGGTGCCTCTTATGCGGAATCTGCAGTGAACTTGGGCATAGATGATACGGCAGGGAAGAGCAGGAGGAGAAAGGGACGAGGACAGAAGCAGCAGAAGAGAGCAGCCGTTTTCAAGAAGAGAACGAAACGTTTCAAGCGAGTTAAGCAGGTGCTGGGCAAGCACTGCCGAAGTATTTTCACGAGTGGACCTCTAGCAGGCCTGTCTTATGGAGCTGAAGTGCACGGCCAGTCTGATCACGAGTTGGCGACTGCTCGTCGTGCTGTGGGCTCTGTCTTACGGCCGTCTGCAGGCATGAGGTCCCTCACTTCTTTGTTGTTGTTGCACGGAGATCCGTCGTGGTATGGATCAGTGGCACCGGCGGTGCGCTACGCTAAGGAGGTCTTCTCGAACCAAGTTAGATCCTCGCCTAATACTTTGTCGTTCGGAGTTTTGAGGGAAGCTTGGGAGTCGGCGCACGGAGTCCCCAAAGAAGAGCTCGCCTGGAAGAAGGTCACGGGTCCCCTTTCAGCGCTCCGCCTCAGCCTCCTCAGGATCCAATGGGACATGAAGAGTTTCTGCGTCTTGGTCAACGATTTCGGAGAAGACATATTTTTAACGACCTGTTCCCCAGCGCTCATTAAGCAGACGTTGCATGATGGAGTTTTGAGACAGCTCGAAAGAGGTGCTGGTAGAGTTCACGATGTACCTTGTCGAGTATGTTATGATGTGGTATCGTCTCAGCTTCGTTCGTCACGGTTTTCATACTACGAGAAGGGTTGCATCAAGTCGCTGATGTGCGGAGCTGTGTGGACCAACGAGCGTGCGCTCGACTTGGGGTACGCTCTGCCATCAGCTCAGTGTCCTTTAGGCTGCGGAGCGCGGGACACGATCTTCCACCGTCTGTGGGAGTGCAGTGCGGTCGACGACGATAGGAGGGAATTGATCGACGATGACGAATTGATCACCCTGGCTAGGAGCATTGATCGATCGGACGCTAAGGAAACACTCCTTTTCTCTAAGGGGCTGTTTGAACACCCTGGAGATGTACTACCACGCCCACGACAGCAAGGTGGTATTATCACTCACACGCCTGAAGGAACAGAAGACGTCGTCGATCCTGGCCAGGTCAAGGGATGTATTTTCATGGACGGGTCCTGCACCAGACACCCTATCAAGGAGCTGAGTAGGGCCACTTGGGGCTATGTACAGGTCACCCAGGATGCTCGGGAGACCTGCTCGGTGTGTGGGCCTATATGGGCTCCGCTCCCTCAGACCCCCCAAGCTGGAGAGTTTGGAGCCCTCGCCATGGTTTCACAGAACCTTGGAGGCCCCTCGGAAGGTTTTTCGGATTGCGCGAATGTGGTCAGCACCTTCGCGCTTCCTCCTGAGGCCAGGTTCTCCTATAAGAAAATGTATTCGGGCACCATGTTATTGGCCCATTCGTGTGACCTGTCTGCTGTTAGCAAAGTAAAAGCGCATGTGGCTGACAGTCCTGATTTAACTGCCCAGCAACGCTGGGAGAAATTCGGAAATGATGCTGCCGATCGCGCCGCACGTCAAGGACTGCGCGCCCACCCCACAGGCTCCAAGGCAGAGCTTGATGCAGTAGACAGGAAAGTTAAGGTTTCTCGTGCGGTTTGCAGGCTGGCGGCCCGTTTACTGCCCAAGTGGCCCGCCCTGGATCTCACGGGAGTCCACTTGAACCCCAGAGAGCCTCGCCAGAAGCCCGCTGGCCCTGAAACTTTTGAGCACGAATGGGAATGGCATAGGTCATACTGGAGGTGCGCTGTATGCCTCAAGATACGGCGGCCCAACCCTGATTTCGTCTTTGGTAAGAGCGACGTGCCCTTAACAGGAAGTTGTACTGGGAAGGTACCAGAGTCATTGCTCCAGGTGGCCGCCAGAGGCCACAAGTTGTTGAGTTTCGATTGCAGCGATCGGTCTCAGCTTTTCATTTGCGTAAGGTGTAAAGCTATATCTACGTTGGGCCCCCTCGCGCTGCTGGCTAAGGATTGCAGGGCCCCAACGAGGAACAATTTCGAGCGGTGGAAGTATCGAGTGCTCAGGGGACGCCATCCTAAGATCGACGGAGTCGTGATTGAGGCGTCTCCTGAGGACCTACCGGCGTTGAGCGAGGATCCCCAGCAGCACGATCCAGTCGTCGACCCGTCGTCCTCGTCGTCGGCCATCGTCTCAGCTGCTGGGGACAACGAAGTCCAGCATCCAAGGCATTTTGCCGATCAGGCTCCAGTGGTGGAGCCCCTTCTTGAGTGCGCCCAGCAGAGTGATCTAGTCGTCGACCCGTCGTCGTCGTCTGGCACCATCGGAGCTGCGGGCCCTCTTGAAGCTGTTTCTCTTTTTGCCCCACAAGCAGGGCCAGGTGCAGAGCAGGGCGCCTTTCCCCACGAAGAGGGTGAGGTGTCCGAGCGCGAGCAGTTGAGGCGTGTGATCACGTCTATTCGTGAAGAGGAGGACGAGGCTCCCTTGCAAGCTGCTCGTGTAAGCACCGCGAAGTCTGGTGACTCCGATTGACTTCTGGCGCCCCCTGTGTCCGTGCGGCCCGTCCCGCTCAGTCACCGCCAGAGGTCCTCTTTTTAACTGGCACCTCCTCCTCCTCCTCCTCCTCCTCCTCCTCCTCCTCCTCCTCCTCCTCCTCCTCCTCCTCCTCCTCCTCCTCCTCCTCCTCCTCCCCCTCTCCCCCCCATCCTCTTCCTTCTCGTCCTCTTCCTCCAGATCCACGGCACGTTCGGGCGAGCTTTGGATTCTTTTCGCCGCTCACTGGCGTCTGTATGCGTTGTTGACGGGCGAGGCGCCTGCACTACCTCGGTTCTGGCCATTCGAGCTCCGCGGGCAGACCCTGGCATCAAGTTTCCACACGAGTGCCTGGAGTGTTGGCTCGTGCAATGGTTTAGACGCTCAGAATTTGTCCAGGTGTGCACAAGACGTGGGCGAACACTGTCAGGTTTCTTCGGTCTACGGCCCTTTCTCATCGCGTCCGGCATGTCAGAGGGCCCATGTCTGCAATAATTCTGCATTTGCTGGAGAGACGGTGGGATCCAGTTTCGCCCACTTCGTGGATCGTGCCTGACGGAGTGAAGTTGACGGACATCATGGCATTGAACTGTGCTCGACAATTCTGCCTTGACTTTGACCTGGCGTCGGGGCAGCTGGTGCGGGGCAGAGCAGCTCAGCGTGCCTGCGGCACTGGCGGGCAGGAGGGGGCTGACGGGCGGCCTCTTCGGCAGCCAGGTGGCACAGCTCGAGGCCACACCCCGTGGAAGGCGCCGCTCGGAGCCGACGGCCTCGACTGCTGCGGGCGGCAATTGGCTTCGTGCGCGCCCTGCGGAGGCAGCCTGCCGTGTCGGTGGACGCCGCCTGCCCGAGCTGCCGCCGCAGGCCCGAGGCTGCCCACCGCCGCGCCTGGGAATCCCGAGGCCAGCGCCGACCGCCCTGTGCACGCGGGCTCGGACTGCCGCTTGCCGCGGGCCCAGGCTCGGCACGAGGCCGAGGAGGCGTTCTGGCTGCGTGGCCCCTTGCCTGCAGGCCTCGTGCCGGTGCCGCCTCCCGACGGCGAGGAGGAGGGGCCCGCCGAGGAAGGCGAGGTGGGCGCTGGCTGCCTGGGACATGGGAGCCCTGCGCGCCCAGCCTCGATCTCCGGGGACGCCAGCGGAGGAGAGGACTGCAGCTCTCCCGTGCTCCGCCGTGCGGGGCTTGGAGCCGCAGTCTTCGAGAGCTGGACATGACGCAGCAGCTGGCCATCCTCGGCAGACTACCTGGCCCCAGGCAGTCAGTCCCGCGGGGCGAGCTTTTCTTGATGCTCAATGTGATCCGCTAGGCTACAGATTTCCTGATATACGTCACCGACAACCTCGCGGTCTTTGAAGGCTGGCATGAACGCGCGCTCATCGGGCTGGAGTTGGCCCAGTCGCATCGAGGGCACGTGGTGGTGCTCGTCACCAACTCCCACCTGGAGGCCGAGGACATCGAGGCAGGGCGCGGCAGCAGCCGGCTGGCCCGAGGCAACGCCACAGCCGACGAGGCGGCCGCTGCGGCGGCGGCCAGGTACCGCGTGCCTGCGGCTGTGCGACATCGCCTCGCGGAGGCGGAGCTCAAGGCCTTCTGGATCCGTATGCGGGCGCTGAGGGCCACGCTGGACGCGCTGCAGGCGGAGGCGCAGCTGACCGCCCATGCAGGCATCAGATGGCAACGGTGAGCCCTCCTCCCCTCCTCCTCCGCCGCCGCCCGTTGTGCCGCTGTCACGTTTAGCTGTTTCCCCGTTTTCCACGGGCCATATCCTGGACGAGTCGGGCCGAAAGTGCCTGCAGTGCCGAGGGTGCTCGTTTTTTTTCCCTGGTTCGGGCATGGAGGTCCAGGAGTGGTTCAATGTTGTGCCGATTGACGACTCCCTTCGGGGCCTTCCAGAGGGGCGAGGTTACACATCGCTGGGAGTTGGGCCCACCCCTCCCACAATATGCGCCTGCATATGAGCCTGGGGGTCTGGTTCTGCGCGTCTTGTGGGATGCATGGGGATCAACAACTTGTAGGGTTGGGAAAAGGGGTGCCTCAAGGTGGTTACCCCCACCCGCCGTGAATACTTGAATCGCCTGGAGCAGGGTTTGTTCCCCAAGGCCTAAAGTAAGGCCAAGCTCGAGCGTAGGGCCCACAAGGGGTCCTCCTGAGGCGATTTTCGAATTTTGCCCTGGAACTCTCAAACTCCTGAACTCCTCCTCCTCCTCCTCCTCCTCCTCCTCCTCCTCCTCCTCCTCCGCCGCCGCCTCGCCCGCCTCCTCCGCCTCCTCCGCCTCCTCCTCCTCCTTTGCCTCCTCCTCCTCCTTCTCCTCCTCCTCCTGCTCCTCCTCCCCCTCCTGCTCCTCCTCCTCCTCCTCCTCGCGACGACGATGACGACGACGGTGACAACGGCGGCGGCGACAACGACGACGGCCCGCCAGCATGCGGACCCCGCGTCCTCGGGCGTCATGTGCTCCCCGTGGGCCTCGAGCGGGTAGCCTCTCCGGCACGGTGGGCCGACGAGGTGTCCGGCCCGGGCCGATGCCCAGCTCACTCCATCAGTGTCCCCAGACCCTCTCGCGTGGTGATCAAAGCGCGATGCAAGGTGTTGTTGACGTTTTCGGTTTCTGGGGGCCCCCACCCGGTCCCAAGACAGTCAAGAAGTGGCTCGATATGAAAAACCGGTCCCGGCGATGGGGTCCAGACCTCTTGGCGGCCACGCTGTGGAAGAATCGCGAAGTCGGGGGTCTGAGACTGGGGAACTGCACTCAACATCTGGGCGGACCTCCCCTGCTCAACCGATTCAAGCTATGCCGCTTGGTAGGAGAAGCCCCAGGCGGGCAGCGAGGAGCCAGAGCAAAAGTAGGAGGAGAACGAGGAGCAGGATCCACGTGCGACCTCTGCGCCCTCATTGGCCCTGAGTTCCTTCCACCTACCATATGCCATCCATGTCCCAACTCGGCCGCCACGCCGCAAGTTTACATTACTGTTCTTGCTGCGTTGCTTTTCTGCACTACGAATTGTCTCAGACGCAGCATGCCCAATTGGTACATTCAGGTCTATGGCAAAGATGGCAAAAACGGCTAAAGCTCCCCGAGAAGGAGCGCTAGAAAGGCGCGGCCGAATGGCCGCCGACGCGCATGTTAAGGTGTGCGCGCGTGAAACACTGCATGGGGGGAGGAGGAAGAGGAGGAGGAGGAGGAATAGGAGGAGGAAGAGGAAGGAAGGCGGCTGCATCACTGCGGAAGGTACGCGCCCTGGAAATCGTCCCACGCCGGTGTGGCAGCGACACAATGCAAATCCACATGTCCACAACAATCCATGACCAACTTGCGTGAATCATCTGTCCATAGAATTGTTGGGCGCCCTGGGCTTCTATGAAGTGATCAAAATGGGTCGCTCTCGGATCTCAGCCGTGACAGTTTTATATGACACGTCCCCGTTGGTCCACTAACGACTTCGTGCCCATTTCCCCCTCCGTTAGATAGGTTGCCAATCCTCGATACTGAGCTGTTGCATTCGCTAATGTGCCTCGGTAGTCGCACATTGAATCCAGTCGACCCAAGGTTCCAGAATGTCTTCTGCATCTTCAAGCGTTTTGGTTTGTCGCAGATAGAATCGGTGTGATGCTCGCTGGAGTCGTTGGTGGCGTCGCCTCCTGCGTCGTTCCTGGAAACGTTGTCGGCGCGTTGGTTAGATGCTGGCGTCAATTTAACCTGTTCTCGTCCGCAGCATCTGTCGCTGAGTTCTCTGTAGGCGGTTTAACTGCCGTCAGCGCCCAAACGTCGCACCAGTATAGTACTGTTGTTGTCACGCACCCACGAAACAATCGCAGTCTGCCGTTCGGAACATAATGTCCCCAATAGATATTGTCTGAACGAGAAGACCTTCTTCCAAGCTGTGGTTACCCTGCTGTTAAATTCAGTGCCGCAGGGGTCCGAACACAGCACCTTGCGCCCAATGTGTTCTGCAAGATCTGAAAGGCGGCAGAACCTCGATGTCCATTCGATCCACTTAAATGTACGGTGGTGGTCGGCATCGACATGACTACCCGTGACCGTTGTGCAGGATTTTGTCTTGTCAGAATGTACAGCGAGTCTGCCCCCTGCGCCGAAGCCAGCTTTGTTCCCATATCTGATGAAGACGTTGCAGCGAGAAGCAAAACATCCGCAGAGCGTAAGTTGTTGAGCCGGTTGTCAGCATCAGGCGGGGGTCGTATTCATATGCTGCACTTCTTCGATTTTGCGTCCAAATGTCGCATCAAGGCCTCTGCGACGCAATTGAACAACAAAGAAGATGATGAATCGCGGAGCTTGACCCCACTTCGCATTATGAATGGCTTCCTTGTCTTGTCAGTCTTCGCAGCAGCCGTCTGATACAGATACACTTCGTCGACCCATATTACGTAGCACTTCGGAACGCCTTGCTCGATCACTGCTCGCCAGGTGCTGTCGTGCGCTATGCGATCGAAAGCCTTTTTACACACTATTGCGGCGATGCCCGAAGAAATCCGCCACTCGTCTGCAATTCCGTGCGTTACCGATACAATAAGCACTTGTCCACCGTACTCCGTCCTGGTCTGAGCCGTGCGTGGTCGGTACTCTGCTCTGCGTCGAATGAAAAGAGAAGCTGGTCGTACAAGAGCCGGAAGAACACCTTGTACCGAACTGGGATAATAGCTATGGGGCAATGTTTTTACAAAGTCGGGCGTCGCCTTTCTCGTGAAGGACTTTGCGGGTAGTGTGCAACAAATTCGCTGTTGCTGGTGACTGTAGCTCTATAGTGGATTTGAGCACCATCAGCAGAGCATGTCGTTGATGGTTTCCGCCTGCTTTAATCATTTCGGCAGCAATGCCGCTGGCATCTGCGCCTTTCTTCGTCGTTAGCTGCTTGACCGCAACATTGAGCTCCTCAATACTTATTGGTGGTAATGAACCTGGGCACGCTGTCTGTGAGACCATGTCACAAGAATGAATCGAATTCTCAGTTACCAAGTACAGCTGTTCATACAAGTCTACAAGCACATCGACAATGTATTGTCTGTCGTGTTGACACGCACCCTTGGTGTTGGGCATGTTGGGATTGAGGTATGCCTGCTTGTGTTGCTTGATGCTGCTGTATTTTGATAATGTACGTTTGATTGCCCATGCCCGCACGGCCATTGTGATAGCCCGGATCGTTCGTTTCAACTGTCGCGTTAGGCGGGTTCGTGCCGTTGCCTCGTGCGTTGGTAAGACTCGCCGCTGTTCCATGAGAGAGGTCACGCGGCCACTTTGGGTTAGATGTTTGAAAGTTGTGCTACCACATGGTCGTGATGCACACAAAGCGTCCCGAAGGGCATTCTCGATTTGATCACATGTCACGCGCAGGCGGTCGGTGGTACGATCGGTATCTCCGCCGCCAATTTGGTCGTTTGATACTGTCTGGCACCAAGTGGCTCGCAGTTAATAATCCTCGACTGTGCCACTGTATGTACACACCTCTTGAGAATGCCATGTGGCTGCGCTCCCAGATAGCTGCGTTGTAGGTTTGTGTTCCCGCCAGTTGTGGACCTCGCAAAAACAATGAGTATCAGTCTGATCCCATGTCGATGTGCTTCGCAACACAATATTCCACGACTCTCCGTCCAAGATGAGTGTCGCAGAGAATGTAATCCAGCTGTTTCGGAGTACCTTCGAGCTCGCGCAAACAAAACATTGTTCTGGAACTGCATTGAAGAACGGGCTCATGAGCTCCATGCTGCCCATTGCTGCCCATCGTTTCAACCACAACCCGCGCGCAATCGTGCCCAGCATTGCATGTTTGCCGATCGTTCTCGTTTCGCCATCGTCGCACATGTTTCAAATTTTTGCATTGTAGTCCGCCCCCACAATGAAATCCAAGCAGCGCATTAGGGCGTGAGTGGTTTACCGAGTTTCGAAAGCAGCGGCAACGGCTCCCGGAAATCCATCCGACCAATAAACCGATAAGCCGGTTAAAATTTACCGGTTGATCAATTGATCGGCAAACCGACCGATAAACCGATATGATTATATCAGTTTATCGGTTGATAAACCGATCAACCGATCAACCGGCAACCTTTATCTGCGAACGTAGAGACGATGGCATGCGCACTCTCTTTCTCTTCGTCGGTTTATCTGCTTATCGGTTTTTGGGCTCATCGGGTGACTAGTTGGTCTGAAACCGCTGGGGGCAACCCAGAATAGTCGATCCTTGCGCCGCATATCGGTTTACCAGTTTATCGGATTATCGGCGGGTTGTCAGGCTCCCGCCGCGACGACGACGGCGACGGCTCTGGGGCGGCTCTCCCTGATCAGCGTGACTTTTGTGATTGATTCTAGTGCGGACGGAGTTCTGCGGGGGTCCGAGCATCTCCCGTTGCATACGGTGATCTGCGTTGTGGTGTAGGCCCTGCGAGGCTCTCAGGCGACAGCGGCCGAACCAACTTGGGGCAGGGCATTTCCGAGGTCAGATATCTCAGGATGTTTAAGGCGAAAGTGGCATGAGCATTCACCTCAGGGCATCTCAGAACCGAGGGCTACGAGGATGTCTCATGCGAAAATGGCTTGACCGGGTCAGCTCTAGGCGTCCCGGAATCCATTGTTGCGAGGATGTCGCAGGCGAAAGTGGCCGGACCGCCATGGCATCATCGAAGTTAAAGGTGCGAAGGCGCATCAGGCGAAAGTGGCCTGAACACCGAATCTCGCGGTCCCAGGTCAGCGCTGCGAGTTTGTCTAGGCGGAACTGGCCAGCACAATTTGGGGCAGGGAGTATCTGAGGTTAGCGTTGCAAGGACGAGTCAAGCGAAAATGGCGCGAATATCATTGCTGTGGGCATCCCATAACCCACTGCTGCGAGGATGCAGCAGGCGAAAGTGGCCCGATCACCATGGGGCTGGGGGCAAGGCAACTCCGCGGTCAGACGCGCGAGGCTCCCCCTCCTCCTCCACCCCCTCTCCTCTGCCGGCCGGGCCGCGCCGAGCCGCCGGCGGGCCGGCCGAAACGGGGGCGAGGACGAGGGCGAGGACGACGACGACGACGACGGCGACGACAACAGCGACGACGACGACGACGACGGCGGCGGCGCCAGGCCTCGCGTCTCGAAATGTCAGCTCGTATCTCTCCGTCGCCGTCGCTGTCGCCGTCGCCGCGAGTGTCACCGGCGCCGGTAATATGGCGACGATGACGACGATGACGACGGCGGCGATAATGATGTGCATGATGATGACGAGGGAGATGTTGATGATAATGGTGACGGTGATGATGAGGATGACGATGATGACGATGGTTTCTCTCCTAAAACGGCGATGATCCGGAACGCGCACTTGTACTCCAGCTTCTTTTGCGGGCAAGTGTACCGCTCTACTAGGACAGCCCAACTCACGCTTGGCGCCAGTTGGCTGCGGCCATTGTTTTGAACCGCTACCGCACCCCGAGGCGCGAGGTCGAACGTCCTCAGGCACCCATGGAGCCTCAGTCTTCGCGATCAAGGATTCCCGA